TCACTGTCTTCCCATTGCTTTTGTTTTCTTAAATAGAATTCATCTTACCATACCTCTTACAGCCTATTACAAAGTATTATCCAGAACATACAAATATGTATCAGGGACATGCTCTCTTTAGTAAATTTCCTCTCAGGAAAAACCTTGATAGAAGGAAAAGCAGTAAAGCTTCAAGTGCAATATAGGTGTATGTATCAGGCTAGGTTATTATTTTTCAAAATTATCTAGAAGTACATTTTTTACAGAAACTGTTAAAAACCAGCTTTACTCTAAATGAAGTTTAATTTTTTTTATACATTGCTAACCTAAAACATAACAATTAACATCTGGTTAATTGGTTTGTAAGTCAGAAGCATGGGAAACCCAGCCCACTGCTTCATGTCTCTGCTCCCCAACCTGAAGAAAGCACTCTATGTTATCCTTTAAGTGGTCCCTGAGAGCGACACTTTATAATCCTTACTGTAGTATTAAAAGCAGTTGTGATCAACTAATCAGAATTAAACCTCAAGTTAAAACCTACTTGCTATATCTTTATTACAGAATTACTGAATATGAGCTTTAAGATCAGAAAAGCCTATGTTCAAATCTCTGCCACTAACTTTTTGCTAAACAAGAGGACATTTGGAGCATTACTGCTAACTGGTGTCAGTTTAACAACTGGCCTCTAGAAGTGAGCCCAGAACATGGTGTGAGGCACCCATCTTTCTCTTTGTTGCTCAGCCCCCTTTGGGGCAAGAAGGTAGCCTCAGAGGGTAAAGTCAAATCTAGCTCAGGCACCTGCCATCTTGTGGGTCCAGAGCCCTGACAATTTTCCTTCACTCCAGATTTGCGGGCATCTTTTTAAAACCCCTAATGCAAAAAGTCTTATTTTCATCCACCCTTAGATGGAGGAATTGCCAGCACATCTACTGAAGTGTGGCTACACTTCTGTCCAGGGAGTTTATATATGTCCTTCTTATGATATCATCCAAAATGTGACCTACTTGGGGGACTTTTTGTGCTATAGCAAAATACTCACACATGTGCACATGTGTACTCATACATGAAACTTCAACCCCTGCTACATATGTCAATTACCTAAAGCAAAGTCCTGCAAGTGATCAAGTGTAACATATATGTTATTTCACTTGTCTTTATGAGGGTATCTATTGTGTATTGCTCTTCAAACTACTTCATACTATATCACAGGGGCTTGTGGCACGATGTCTCAACCAAACAATTCTACTCCACTTTAGATAATTGAGATTCTAGGTGCTTGGATTTAGAAATGGTGATCTCTGATCACTAGAAATAGGCTTATGAGGGAGTTTCCTTTAAATTTTATTAATTATGTAAATGCAAGGGCCAAATAACTACCTCTAGTATTAAGAGAACAATGGAATAAGAAGTTTCATAAATTTGGTTTTTAGAATGCCATGAACAATTTACATAATATACTCAGGAGCTTTCAGACATCCATTAAGGGGGATATAGATGTTCCACTGAAGGCCCAATGTCAAGGAAGAGCAATAATGCTCCTAAAATAAAACTACCTTAGAAACAAAAGAATCTAGATTAATGTCCTTCTCTCTCTACAAGTCTAAATGAAGTGTTTTTTGAAGAGAGTTTTTGTATGTTTTTTGCTACTGTAAATACCAGGTTCTGGAAGCTTCTACTGACCCAGCCACTCTGTACAATTGTGGGAGCTTAGAAAACAATGGCCAAGCTTGGGAGTGTGTATTAATCTGCTTTCATGCTGCTAATAATTACATACTTGAGATTGTGTAATTTATAAAGGAAAGAGGTTTAATGGACTCACAGTTCTACATAGTGGGGGAGGCCTTGCAATCTTGGGGAAGACAAAGGAAGAGCACAGGAACTTCTTACATGGCAGCAGACAAGAGAGCATGTGCAAGGGAACTCTCATTTATAAAACAATCAGATCTTGTGAGACTTATTCACTGTCACAAGAACAGCATGGGAGGGACCCGTCCCCATGATTCAATTACCTCCCACCAGTCCCTTCCACAACACATGGGAATTCAAGATGAGATTTGGGTGAAGACACAACCAAACCATAATATTCTGCCCTTGGCCTCTCCCAAATCCCATGTCTTCACATTCCAAAACCAATCATGCCTTCTCAACAGTCCCCCAAATTTTTAACTCATTTCAGCATTAACTCAAAAGTTAATGAAGAATGGAAAGGAGAAAACAATTGTTCAAATTGGGACAAGTAATTGAAGGTACAAACATGTTAATTTGGGACAATTAATTTAGAGAAAAAATGTTTCAAGCAGTTTTATACATTTATTCAACATGTAAAACAAATTTTTAAATAAATGCATAAAGAAAGACCTTTGTAAAACAGAAGTCTACGTTTCATTATATCTCTATTGGATACCCCTCCTCAGGGTAATAATGCCTTTCTAGGTTAAAATATGAGATGTCCACCAAATAACATACTCTCCACACTTCTGCAGCCACAGAGTAGGAGGACACAGAAAGTTAGCTTACAGCCATGAGTTGTTAATTATTGAACAAGATAATAGTAATAATTATCATACTTCAAAGAAAGTAAGTATAGTATCGCTTGCTATCTTGATTGTGTTAAGTGAGCATCGGCTCTGGTCTGACTGTAAGAACTATAGTCACAAAAATAAGTTGAAAAGCTGAGAGAAGTGCTGGTTATTCTATGGCTTTTGGTATTAACCTCCTCTTTGGATTCATTTTCTTCTATACAATGACTTGAGTCAGAAGTTATAGTGAAAAAAGAGGAATGCAAAAATACTAGTTTTTGTGTCCTGCAAGGGGTAAACAGGGAAGAAAGGGAAGTCTTTCTTAGGAAGATAGACATGCATATAGATTTTAGAAGAAAGTTTTTTTGTGTGTGTTTAAACTAATAGTCTACAAGGGTGCTCATTTACTTGTTTTCTGTAACTAGTACCAAATTTGGCAGTTCTTTTCTCTCAAGTGCTCTATTCTTTTTGTTGTTGCTGTTGTTTGTTTGTTTTTATCAGTGCTTGAGAAAAGGGGTCCAAATATCAAAACAATTGCTGGTTCCAAAACTAATTCATTACCTGATTAAAAAAAAATTATTTTGAGACCACATTAACAAAACTACATGAAGAGTATGTCCCAACTCAGAAGAAACCAAAAAATGACTAATGATCTTACCGCATTCAGAATACAAGGATGAGTCAATGAATCATTATTCTTTGGCTTGCTCCGACTCTTTAAAATGAGGCCCATTTTTCTGTCTCCATTTTTCCATTGGCACTGTCTGCTAATTTTAAATTTTTACTTTTTTGTGTTGAGGGGGAGTGATTTTCATATAACCTTTCAATGACCCAGAAGAGAAACTAGAGTTTTCAGTTTGCATGAGGTAGTGCTTCACATTAGTAACTGTATCTCATATCAACACCTATGCTTAGAAACAAACTCCTGCCAAATGGCAATAACAAAGGGGAAAGAGAAATAACAGCACATGCAAAAAAAAAAAAAAAAAAAAAAAAAAAAAAAAGAGCCTCCCCCAACAGGGAGAAAGAGAGTACTGACAGTGTTAGAGAAAATGAAGTTACTATGTCATCGTTTTTTTACAGAGGAATAATATGTATTCATACAAACACAACTACTAAAAGGATGAGGACACTGTATAGAGTTGTCTTATTGTAATGCGTTGTTTAATGCGTGAATATCATAGGCTCTTCTATTACGATATTTTAGGCTAGTCATCATATCCTAATCTTATTGGTACAAATTGTTTACACTGACTAATAGAATATATAGTATTTTTTTTCTACTTTTGTAAGCATATTTTTTTCTAATTACAAGTCATATTTTCATATTGAAGACAATTAAGAGTTTACAGAAAAGGATGAAGAAAGAAGAAATCAATCATAATCTCACAGTCTAGAGATAATTTTGTTAGCATTTCACCTTTTTTTCTTACACATGTATGTATATGTTTGTGCACACAATATAAAAATGTATACTTTGATTATTTTTAAAACTCAATTTTATTACAGAAATAGGTAGTTATTGTAGGAAAACTAGAAAATGTGAGAAAAGCTTTTAAAAAGAAAAATTACTAATAATTCTACTATCTGTATATTTGGGTATTAAAACTCTACATCTTGTTTTAACCTACTTATTTACTTATTTATTTATTTATTTTGAGACGGAGTCTCACTCTGTTGCCAGGCTGGAGTGCTGTGGCGCAATCTTGGCTGACTGCAACCTCTGCCTCCTGGTTCAAACAAATTTCCTGCCTCAGCCTCCCGAGTAGCTGGGATTACAGGCACGCGCAACCATGCCTGGCTAATTTTCATATTTTTAGTAGAGACGGGGTTTCACCATGTTGGCCAGAATGGTCTCTATTTCCTGACCTTATGGTCCACTCAGTCTCCCAAAGTGCTGGGATTACAGGCATGAGCCACCGTGCCCAGCTTTAACCTACTCTTAGTTTAACAATATGTAACGTATATTTGACCAAGTCATCAATTATTTTCCTATAACATGTCTGTTATTGGCTAAATAACATTCTACTGAAGAGCTATACAATCGTTTAGCCAATATACTGTAGGATATTTGAGTTATGTAAATGATCATTTTCTAACACTTTTTAAATAATAGGTTGTTGTACATTGAGGATTGTGTGCATGTGATTGGGAGCAGTACATGATAAGAGTATCTAGTCTTCAATTAGAGAACCAAGAGATTCAATTGGTGCTTGGATCTAACTCAATGCCAACAGTGCTACAACTGCCTGGCTGCCATTGACTGAGATTTTAACAGTAAGACTTGCTAAACAGCAACTTAAAAAAACAGCAACTTTTGTGCAGAGCAGCCACCCTTGACCCAAATAGAAAGGTCTGTATTAGCCCCTTTCTCCTGTACAACAGCACTCACTAAGTTCACAATGAGAATAGGAGGGATTCTTGGCATTTCATAATCAAACATCCTTTCATAAATGCCCATATGCAAACTCACACTGATCACTGGAATTAATTACTACTCACAGCAACTGTCTGAAGTCACTTTCTCTTTCCAAGTTCTGTAAATGGAAAACATAAATAGACATAAGACTAGGGGGCTTTCATAAAACAATAGAAGAAATCACAAGTAAAACACCCCTACTGTTTCTTTTGCTGCCCCATTTAGAAAGGAAGTAAAACTAAAATGAGAAACTTCAATGAGAAAGCATGTTAAGAATGTTTTTCTGAGAGGAAAACATAGAGAGAGGCTTACTCTTATAGAGAGGTTTACTCTTTTCAAAAGCATCTGGGCAATCAGGACACAAAGCTAAATAATTTATTTAATCAAATCTATCAACATATTAGTTAATTTTAACTGTATCATCAAACTGGTTATTAGCGCTCATTATATAAAACCCCCAAGGAAGGGAATGTGCTTGTGTTCCTGTAAATGTGTAGTATACAATTTTTACACTTTATCGCACTTTTTGATTAAGCCAATCAATAATTTTTAATCAAGTAAACAAAAAAAATACTAGTTAAATCAAGCAATATGATCAAATGGTCATCAGTGTTTATTTAAGTCCCCAGTGATAAGGACTACTGTGTGTAAATATAGGTATGTGCAGAATGTGTACATATAATTGCTTTTTCCATTTTAAATTCACATATATCTTCCCATTTGAAAGAAAAATGCTGCTCTATCTATAATGCTGTGTAAGACTATCACCTCTTCTTTCCAGAAACCTGAGGAACAGACAGTCTGGGGTCTTCCCTGTAGAAATCCTACTGGACAATATTTCTAATACTGACCATTCAACTAAAGCAAATTCCTTTTCTTCCATCAAAAGCATTTAAAAATTGAATCAAAATAATTGAACTAGAATCTTCAAAGGACAATATTCTAAAGTCTTTGTAGGTTTTATAGAACAGAAACAATTTCATTTTAAAGGCAAAAGATTCAGTGAAAGAGAAAGTGTAGAAGAATCCTCACAGCAACACTACTCAACTAAAAATAAGCAGCAGAGATTCAGCCATGTGGAAGAGTTTCTACCTTACAAATCCTTAAGGGTTTGAATAAGAAAGCTTAGAATAATAGCTGTGTGTGGCGCAGTGGAGGAAGTAACACAGCGTATGGTTGGGTTAGGATGTGTCCAGTCAAGTTGTTGTTCGTTTCCTCTGTCAGAGAAACAGGATTCTTGAGCTGCACAAGGAAAAAAAAAAAAAAAAAAATGAAAACAAAACAAGCTGGTTATATTTCTGTGCAGTACTGACGATGCTTATTATTCTTTGTTCCTAATATATAGAGGCACAATGCTGCTAAGAGCCCTGGGCTTCAGAACTAGGAGAGCCGGGTTTAAGTTCCATACCAACTGTGTGGTCTTACTTGGGCTTATAGCTCTGAATTTCAGCTTCTTTCCTTGTAAAATAAAAATGGTAATGCCTGTCCACCTTTCAGGGCAGATACAAGTAGTAAATGATACACTAAGAGTGGGGAAAAGCATAGCACAACACCAGGTATCTGCCAGATATTCAACAAATGTTAGCGTTTTTCCTTTCCTTTTTTAAAAAACACTTTAAGATTTGGGCATTTCTCAATTTTCTGCATTATCAAGTTCAAAGAATTCCCTTTGTTTATCCATGTTTTTCCCATACTTCACCCTGTTTATCATCACTTGATATATATTTGCTTGTTTGTTCTCTACTTTCTGCCATTAGAACACTAGCTACAAGAGGGCAGGAACTTTGTTCTTCACCACTGAAAAATATGCCTATCTCATAGTGAGCACTCAAGAGGTATTTGTTGAAATAAAGAATAAATGGCTTATAAATTTGTTTCATTTAAAGCTGTTTCAAGCATTTCTTACTAAAATAGTCGACAAAAATACACCCAACTATTTGTAAATAATATGTACATGAATAGTTATCCTGATATATGCTTTTACAGCTCCATACAAAATTAATAGTGCCCTGAACATAATCAACATTTAATCAATATTTGTGAAACGTATTAATAATAAGCTTCTTATTCAACCAATATGTATGCATGAGCATGTCTTGAGATGGCAGAAAAGCATCATTCCTCATTTTTGTCCAGAGAAATTAGTGTTCTTTGTGGAGATAAAATACTACAACCATATATTGCCTGATTACATATATTCATAATTTACCATGACAAGTACTACGGGAGTCTTGTGAAATACAATAACCTGAAATTGAGTTGTCATGCTTGCATGTACATACTCACAAATATAATGCCATAAATGTATAGGTGTGTTATGTGTGAATATGTGTATGTGCTTGTTAAATGGATCCTTGCCGTCTATTTGTTGAATAATTCATTAACATAGTCACATATGTGTATATAAAACAAGCTATAAAAATGTTTAGACATTGCGGAATAATATCATAAATGCTGGGGTAAATGCTATATGCCAAATGTCACTGGAATGAATTATGAGGGAAAAAGAACGCTGAAGTTTGATCAAAATATTAGATAAACCATGTGAAATAAGCTTAAAAGAAGAAAGGCTGTCTATCATGTTTTTATTTACCATCCTATTAATGTAATTTTTTGCCATAGGTAAGAGACAGAGAGAGTCAGAAGCAGAGAAACAGGGAGGAATGAAAAAGATTTCCTGAAAAAAATTCTTAATAGATTTGTATTGTCATTCAAAATGAAAACCTATGAGCATGCTCCCCTTAGCTATGGGTCTTTGGAAAATGGGAGACTAGAAACAGAGAGTGAGAAGTTCTGCTTATAGAGAGAACATGGCCAACCTCCCTCCCAGACACCCCCAGCACTTCAACTCCTGCCAGGCAGGAACTAGAATCTTTTGTAGAACACCATTATAGTATTAGAAAGTAACATAATCATGAAGGAGAGAAGAAAGGCTTGATGTACATCGCCTTGTGACTCTAAAAGGCCCCCTGTGCCGAATATCCGAATATCGCGGCAGCGCGGAGCCGAAGGAAAGGCCTGCCCAGCTCAACTGTCAGGCCTAAGAGCAGCTCCGAAGCTGGTGAGGAAAAACATTCCTCCCCCAAAAGGCTTTTATTTATTATACTTTTTAAAGGTAGTACAAGCGATAATGCAGCACATTTGTGTAATTTCATCCTGAAGCTTGACACTCTGAATCGCTAAGGGCTCTCAGATCTCACACGTGCATGTCTCAGTTCTCATCCCACCCGCTTCAGGGGAGACTCACGCTTCTCTTGTGAAATGTGCTTGAGAGGTTATCATGGGCATTGGCAGACGAGGGTAATATTGATAGATAATTCAGACCTATAAGTTTGCTTGGGCGCGCACACATACACAAACACACACACTCTCTATACACAAGCTTAGAAGCTTCTCATCCCCTTGCTCTGTTATCTCATGTAACTCCAATCCCACATCACCTTATCCTGGTCCCCTAATCTTCCTCTCGCCCCAACCCCCGCCCTGGAGAACAGATTTATGTCTTCCAACTTGGTCTGTTACCTCCTCAGTAAGGAAACAGGAAAAATCCTATAAAATAATATTTAACATCCTGTTACGCACTGCCTCCCCCATAATATCTCCTTCCCCCCATACACACATAAACATGCACACACCCGAATTTTTGCCCCACCTTACAATGAAATTCTGGCTGTTTCCTAGGCCTTTGCAGATGCTAAGGCCCAGTACATCTGAAATCTACAAGCTGAGGGTAAAATAAATACTAGGTGTGCAAAGGAGCCAGAAGGAACCATTGCCTTTTCCCAGATCAGAGTCAGGGAGAACAAGCATGTAATTCCTTCCCCATAGCAGGGCTGTGAAAATTATCCCTAAAATGGGGAGATAGAAGAGGGGCAAGAAAAGGTTAAAGAAAAATGGACAACCATAAAAAGATTTATAATTTACTTTTGAAATAAATCAGCAAAGGGCAGCCCAATCTGCCATTTACTCCGAGGGCTCTGGGATTCCACATTGAATAATGTGCCATGGCCCATTTTGATCTGCACTGAAATTAACAATCAGTCCACCACTTTATGAAATATTATCTTTGTTAGCTTTACCAGTAACAAAAATACACTTCCAATTTTTCACATCCACACACTACATCTATTAAAGCAATCTGGGAAATTAGTTTGAGATAAACTGTACAGCAATTTTATTCATAGTTTCCCTGTATCTCACACTGTTAATCTGCATCACAGCTCACTAAATAGTGCCTAATGTTTATTGCATTTAACTGAATGTATACGATTCTGAGGGTACGCCAGGGACCGATTATCATAATTATACATGTTTCTATGGAAACCCACAAGTCTATCAGTTTTGATTCATTATATTGTTATACCTTCTAGCACTTTCTAATTATTAGGTGCCCATAAAAAGTCTCAGTCTTGCTGTTACTATAGAAATGAGCTATAGACAGGCCTCAATTGTTAACCCTTAAAGAACCAAAATATATAGACTCAGACAGCTGGTAAAGCTATTCATGAAACTGAAATAACTAATAATTTTACTTATTACTTAAATTTATAGTTGATTTGCTGTTATTAATTTCTGAAACTCTTTCACTTAGACTACTCATGAATAATCACCTCAGATTTTATAAAATTGCCCTGACTTTGAGGTCCCCTATCCTTGATATACACCCTCAGGTATGATAAAAGATACACAAAAACTCATGCAACACTGAATTAGTGAGCACAAAGTGCAAAATGAAAAGTCTTTCAGGACCGATTATTTATTTCATAGATAAAGACACATTTGCTGGTGTAAACTTAGAATTATATGTTAACTGATAAAACAGATAAATCAGAATATAATAGTGAGAACTCAAATGCACTGAGAGTCTTTAAATCAAGCATCTAAAATTGCTTCAGAGCAATATGGCTATTTAAGTATAATTTAATATTGCTGCTTAAATTGCAATTTGTAATTTAATATTTTCATTTTACTTTTTCTTCTACATTCACTAACAGAATCCTGTGAAAATTGAAAGGGACCAAGCAGTTTCATTGTCTCTCTAACCCTCCTGCTATTATAGTTTCAATTAGAAGTGCCTTTTAATTTAGATCAGGAAAGCTCTCCTAAAGTGACAGCTCGCCCTTCACACTGCATATCTATTTATTTCGGAAGTCAACACACCATTCAATAACCTGAGAACAGCCCTGATTGCTATGCTAATAGTATTCAGAAATATGTCGACACCGATCGAAACAAGTAAACTAAGGCTAATTCATAAAGTGAATAATAAAAGGCAGAGGAAAGCCTTTCATACTTACTACTTCAGCTGGAATCTTAAGCTTACAAATTTAATTTTTTCTCCTCCCTTAGGGAAATGAACGCTATGTGATAACCAAACTGAAATTAGATTTTACCTAATATTACAGCCTAGCCTATTTGACGCGGCTTGTTTTATTATATAAAGCTGCAGTGGGAAGCAGCAGAGACAATGACCGTATATGTTAATGCCTGTGTGAGCTGAGAGATGCTTGCTCCAGCCGCAGCTTTCTTCAGCTCAAAGCTAAATGCATTTTGCTTTTTGAGGTTGGGGGAGGAGAGGGAAAGCCACAGAATTTTAAATGTATGCCCACATTAAAAAACAACAGCACATGTTAGGTAACCATTTTTTTCATATTACACGCCCAAACCACCAACATCCATAGCAACTCCCCGCCAATTAGAAATAAATCAAATTGTATAAGCAACAAAAGATACAGACATTTGCATGTTTAAGTTCAAACTCTTTTTAAAAAAAAAAAAAAAAAAGAGAACGGATCAAAGCCTTTTGTTCACAGCTCTTGTGTAGCTGTTAGCATTAGAGAAAAGTAGATTTACTACTAAATAGGAAATTTAAAGTAGATTAGGGGTAAATTGAGTTAGATACTTTTAAAAACCCATTCATCAGTACATGCATATATTATTACATATATGTGTACAGTCTGGAAATTAATTATATTTATTTCACATTAAAATTAGTATCCTCCCCATATTCAGACATTGGTTATTCAAAATAATTCAACTATATCTGCATTTTTTTACTTAACTGTAAAAATTAACCTAAACTTCAACAATAAACATTGTATTTTTCACCTTGTTTATGCTTTCACTCCCATAATAATCAATTAGTTTTTCAACCCAATTCACCAACCTTTTTAAAAAAATCTCTAGAGCCTATTCATACATTTAAAACTAGGCAAATATATACATTAGATTGATAAACTCTAACAAAATACATAAGTATGCAGAAACTACACTAACATTTCTAGATGAGTAAAAGAACTGTATGAGAATAATGCTACTAGGGCCAAAATTTCATACACTTGATAAATAAGCCTTAAAAGTGACAATAAAAGATTCTGAAAGCAAGCGGAACCTGACGTGTGCTTTTAGAGAATACCTAAAGATCACTGTTAGGTTAGTGAATCCTCGGGGATTTATATGGGGGTCATATGTTAGGGTCATGAGGGTGATTAGGCAAAGAAAGCAGAGAACGTACAGCATTCAAGCAGCAGGCATACTACCACCTGGGATTTCATTTATTTCCTAGAGATAGAGTCAAGTTAGGTCCCTGCATGGCAAAACTATGAATTAATTATATTCTGCCCCCACCCAGTGAGCATTAAGTGCTCAAATTCTCTTTTTGGGTGGTGGGGGAAAAATGACTTATCATTCACGGTTGGATGTTAAAATCCCAGCGGAGAGAACCAATAAAAGCAGCTCCTAGTGACAAAAATCCAGTAGCTGTACCATGACTATCCATCAAACTGAAATGTTTTAGGATTCATATTTATTTGCACCACTTTGCCGCTAAGGAAAATGTCTAGTCAACTAGAGAACGTCTAAATTCTTGCTTTTTGATTCTTATAGGAAAGGTGAAAAGACATCAGTGAGTTGCGATTTCCTTCAGCAGCGAACGGGTTCCTTTGAGAAGTCTGGTCAGTGGCACAGGCGGCTCACAAACCCACACAGCAGACCTTGGGCATGGTTGCTAACCCCACGGGTCATTTCTCCAGACCACTGCTGGCCAGGCCCTGGACAGAGGGGCCAGTCCAGGCTACCCCTCCTTGAGTGTCAAGGGTGAAGTGAGAAGATAACGTTGTCTCTGAGGTCCCTTGGGCAATGAGTCCTTTTCCAGTTTAATTACTGGAAATCGGGAAAGGAGATAGATGGCTTTCTTCCCCGTTAGGAAATAGCCTAATGGTCACAGAGTAGAGTCAGATAAAAGAAAATGGATTCTGCACCAACCGAAGGAGGGCATTCTGAGGAGAAAAGTACAGGAAGAGAAAAAAGAGAAGACTCAGCTTAGCAGCAGCCACAAACAACAACGACAACAAAAAACTCAACCTACTTGATTCCTTCTAATCCCCTTGTTTGCTGATTTTCTTCCTTGTACATTTAACATAGGCAAATGTGTGCCTTTTAACTGTCAATTCCCATGTCTATATAAGCACTATGATTCGGGGCAGAACTGGGCTGCAAAAATTAAGATAAAAGAGCTTCTCCCATAGTAGATAAAATATGATTACTATACAAGAAGAGATCAAAGCACTTTAATGTGTTTATTTTTCACAGCCCTTGTGTGTTATTTCATTAAAGTACTGTAATGCTTAAGCTTGAGTAACAAAAAAATTCAGGCACCTTAGTTTTTCCTATTTACACATATAAAGAAAGAATATAGTTCTCTCTCTCTCTCTCTCTCTCTCTCTCACTGTATCAGTGCATGAGCAAAGCATTCATTATTATTCACTCTGAAAAATAGTCATTTAAGGAGGCTAATTAGCAATACTTACAATTTATTTTAGTTTTTATGCTACTTGGAGTTTAAAAAAAAAAATAGCCATTATACACAAATGTTTGTTTATGTCTTGCTGATAGGAAGAATTCCTTGGATAGTCCACTTACAGCATATATGGCACACATGTGTTCCCTGCTGGCAAGGAACTTACCTTCTGTTCCAGGGATAGTGCATGGGTACCCAACCGTTAAAGAGACAAGGTGTATTGATCAATAGATTAAGGAGTTTCAATATTATTCCATTATTCTATTGTTAATAGGAAGTCATTAACAATATTTTTATTGGGAGATGTAGATTACACTTTGAGGAAAAATAACTTGGAAGTCATGTGCCAGGGCCTAAAATGAGGGAAGTCTTTGGCTAAGAAACTAGTTAGAGACTATTACACTACTACAGGCAGGAGGTTTATATCACATTGTTCACAGTGAAAGGAAAAAAGAAATGAGCATAATGAAAGATAAATAAATTGAACACAGTTTGTAAGGAGAGATGATGGGTCTAACTAAACAAGGCAAAGTCATAAATGGAATGATGAGGCATTCTGGAAATGTGTTTTGGAAGTAAGAGAACTAGGTTGACTTTCAACACATTGTTTGAGATGATAGTAAAAGCCCGCAGGTAGTAAGACTGAAGATCCAAAAACTATCTTGAGAGAAATCATTAATTTTTATTCTCATGGTCATACATGTAGTTATTGTTTTGTTTTTCAGATGAGCAAATAAGTGAATGGACATGAGTGAATGAAAAGGACTGAACTGTAGACATGCTATGATATTTCACACCACAAGAATGAATAAATTCTATAAGAAAATGTGAAAAGAGAAAAATGTGTAAATAAGAATTGAATCTTATGATTTTCATCCATCTATGGGCAAGGGAAGGAGTAAAATAAGGAAAAAAAAAAAAGGAAATGGGAGTAGTCACAAAAATCAAAGGAGAACAAAGACAATAGGATGTCAAAGAAAGATAGAAATTGAATATAGCCTAAGATGGGTATCAAAGCTGAAAGAAGTTCTGGTGGCATTGAGAGAGAGAGAGAGAGACAGAGAGAGAGAAAGAGAGTGTGTGTGTGTGTGTGTCTGCGTGTCTATGTGTAAAATAAAACAAAAATGATGCACATTTAAAAGAATAAGGGACAACACTGGCAAAAGACAGATGAAATGTTCTGCTGTGAGAAGCATTAGTTGATGCAGCAAACACCAGAGGAGAGGGATAAGGATGGGAAGTCGGGAGTGTCCCAGAAGGACTTTAGACCTGGAAATGGGGAACTACTTCTTCTGAAAAGGAAAGAAGAGAAAATAGATGATGATCCAGATATATTTTGAGGTTTGAAGAGGGTATATACCCAAATATATAAGTAGGGAAGAAGAAGAAATGCATGCCAGATGGTTTCAAGCTAGGGGGAAAAAAATGGGTGGATAAAGCAGACTTTAAAGAACCAACTAAACGAGGCCAAAAGGGGAAATTAGGATTGAAAAGTGAAGTGGCAGGGACCTAATATTGCTCATGTGAACAATAGTCGCCAGGATTTTTACTCCTTAGTTAAGCTTTCGTCTACAAACCATGGAAGACTGTAAAATAGAAACAGTGAAGCAAACAGAACTGTTAGCCAAAAAAAAAAAAAAAAAAAAAAAAGGAACATCTTAAAACTCAATTCAAAATATATTTCTTGAGTGTTGATTGCATGCCAGGCACTATATGAGCTATTAGCAAGGAAATTTTAATGGACTTCTAGAACCTGGAAGGGTGCAAAAAATAAAATTTTAAAACATTTTTGCTAATTTCTTAAAATGAACAAAAATGAACACACTCTAAAAAGGATGACTCAAGATGGCATGCACCTGACCTCAGATGATCCCTTTATTTTTTCTGTATTAGCTTTTTGATAGAATTCTACATTTCCAGCAAAGAAAAAAGGAGAAAAAGAAAATTTAAAAGTGGAGGATCAGATAAATTAAGATTCTACTACTAATAATGCTATTGTGTCACCAAAAGTCAGAGAGATATTGTGTGGGCCTATTACCGGCCTATTTCCTTCTTTCACTAACCCCAGTGGCTGTAGGTTTCCTTAGGGCCTGCAACAAAGCATCAACAGGGAACACACTGAAATGCTATTCTACAATAGTTAACACATATAACTAATGCCCACTGCATTGTGAACAGTTTCAGGTCATCTCATTTAATCTATTATATCAGTAATACCCAAGACAGATATTACTATCATCTCCATGTTTTACATTTATTTTATTTTATTATTTTTTTGAGACACAGTCTGGCTCTGTTGCCCAGGCTGCAGTCCAGTGGCATGAGCTTGGCTCACTGCAACCTCCACCTCCCAGTTTCAAGAGATTCTTATGCCTCAGCCTCCCAAATAGCTGGGATTACACATGTGTGCTACTACGCCTAGTTTTGTTTTGTTTGTTTGTTTGTTTGTTTGTTTGTTTTTTGTATTTTTAGTAGAGATGGGGTTTCTCTATGTTGTCCATGCTGGTCTTGAACTGAGGTAAGAAACGCTATATAACTCACTAAGATGACTAAACCAGTAAGTGCTCAAGCACAGATTCAAACATAGC